TCCGAGTGCATTTGAAATTTCGAAAAACGCTTCCACCAGGCGAAAAAGGGATCCCTCAGAACTTTGTAATGAGGGAAAACTGAACTTACCGAGACGAAGCGGTCAAAGAAGGCAACTAGAAAACTTGATTGCTGCCACAGAGATACATGGTGGCACAGTGGAGAACAGAGCTCCTGCCTTAGAAGGTATGGTGTCTACCGTCCTTAAATATGGTAAGATTTCTGATTTGACCAAATACTTCTGCTCATCCAGGAAAATGAAAAAGGCAGCACTTGTAGAAATAAAGAGGGAGGTACAAGAATATGAAAATAGTGATGAAAATTTCATTCGCTCACTTTCACTTCTCTATGCTGGGGGAATAATTGGAAAAATAAAATATGAGCAAGCAAGGTCTGCACTTGTTTTGAAGCACACCGGAAAGACCACGAAGAAAGGGAACCCCTCAAAGGAAAGGATTAAGTTTGGTTTCGGGCTTCCTATTCCAAGGCCACTTGCTTACAAACAATTGATGCATAAAATTGCAGAAATTGACATTGGAGAACTTATTTCTGTAAGAGACACCTTATGTGCTAACTTACCTCTAGATGAGAAAGTTGTTGGTGTGTACAGAGATTTGGAAACAATGCTTCTCTCCCTCAGTAAATTTTACCTTGAATCAGATCCATTAAGAAAGGAAAGTGAAAAACTGACCTGGTTCAGTGAGAAAGGAGCTTTTAAAGTGGCTATCGGTGGTGACGGTGCACCCTTTGGCAAATGGGATGAGTCCATGTCCTGGCTTGTAAGCTTCCTTAATGTGGGTGCAAGAGTTGCCAGCCCAAATGACAACTTCCTGCTTTTTGGTGCAAACTGTAAAGAAGATCATCCTGCAGTGAAGCTATTTACGAAGGAGTTGTCATCTAAAATAGCAGAAATTGAAAAGAAAACGTACATGATGTCAGAGATGCAAGTAACATTTTCATTTGAGCTGGTTCCTTCTGACATGAAATTTCTTGCTTTCATTAATGGAGAGCTTAACAATGCTGCAACTTATTTTTCAAGCTTTGCAAATGTATCAAAAGAAGACTGCACCAAATTAGATGGCAAATTTGGAACAACCCTAGACTGTAATTGGAAGCCTTGGCCATACAAAAAAAGACTGGACATTGCTAAGCAGGTTGCAAAATTCAAAAGTAAGCTTCCCTCTACCCTTGCAAAGTCCACCCAGAGAACTAAGGTGACACAGTTCATTGCAAATAAGAAGTCAAGACAAGAATTTGAGCCACTAATAGGTGAACTGTGTGATAAAGAACTTGTTGAGCCCCTCCATTTAAAAAATAATGGAGTACAACATTTGCATTCAATGCTTTTGGACTTGGCAATTTCTTCAAGTAAGCTCCCTGTCAAAATTAGGAGCTTATCAGATCTACCCACAACAAGTGCAATTTCAAGATATTTGAAAGCACTAAAGTGTGATGTTAAAGCTGGGCGTTTAGAGAAACAACTGGGGAAGTGGATGCTGGAGGACAGGTCAAAAGACAAGGGATTTTCCTATAGACTAACCGGGAAAGACTCTAAGCTTGTGTTACATGGTTTCATGTATTTGGTGAATGCAATCAAGGGAGATTCAGAGGACCCCAAATTACTCATGAAGCTTATGTACATTGTTTATATAGCACTCAAGCTGAGGGACTGTGCTTCAATTTTCTCCATGTATCATGTAACCCCTCAAGTTGTCCAAGAACTGCCAAACTTATGCCATGAGTACTTCAAAGCAGTAGCTCTTTTCACTGGCTCAGTATCAGGTACTGTCTGGAGTATTGGCCCCTTAGTTTCTTCTCACACTCAGCGGGTGTTTGAAAAATATGGAACTGGACTGGGTGTTAACACAATGCAAGGACGAGAAGCTAAGCATGTTCAGATTTCTAGTTATGCCAAAAACAGTCTTTTCAAAGAGCGCTGGCCTCAAGTTTTCCGGCATGACTACATCAGTAAACTTTGGCTTCCCCTTCGCCAGCCATCACTTTTAACATACCATAAGGCACGAGACAGTCTAATCCCTAATCATGTTACCACAGATCCACAACACTTTTGCTCCTGTGGGTTTTCCAAAGCTGTCTGCAATGACAAATGTTACTATTGTGGTCATCCATTCATGGCTGAGATCAAGAAGTCTGTTGCTGAGAGAAAACCAACAAAAGAGTGCTTGAAGTACCTGTCTTAATCAGTTTTACAGTAACTGTAACAAAAAGTAAGAAGGTTGTACAAATGCAAGTAACACAAGTAGTTTGGCCCTTTATTCCTTAAATAATAATCAAATTTCTAACATTGTCAAGCTCAGACAACTGGTGGAAGTGAAAAGTTACATTGATCAACTACCAAATTCTTACACTTTATACTCAAATAGCTGTGGAAGTCATTACAGATAATTTATATTTTAAGGGGACTGGAAGGGATGTTTCTGTTTGAATTCTGACTCCATGTAAAAAACAAACAAAAAAAACAAAGAACCTTCCCCACAATAAAATTAAATGTTAAAAAATTCAAAATTATTCATCATGAACTAATACTCTTCAATGTAAACATGTTACTAAAATCATGTGTGTATCTGAGACATATGTATTTATACCTTACACATGCAAATCATTTGGGTATTTCATAGTAACCCAACTCTTAGTTATACATCAGTGAAAACAATATTGTTTGATTTATAGAAGTAAATTTCAAGGTGATATTATAGGGTTCTATCTTTTTTTTATATTATAGAGATATATAAAGAACTATTGAGAATTGAATTATTAAAGAAAAAATGGCTGAGCAATTCCAAGTATCACTTCATCTATTCAGTGTTGACTGATTCCGTGGCAATTCCAGTATCCATAGTAAAATTTTGCCCTCAAAATCTCTTCTTTGGCATTATAGACCATTGTTCCCTTCTTCTCATCATTGATGATAAGCTTTGCTTCTCCTTTTCCTTCACCAAGCTGCTTCTTAAACCCGCCACAATCTTCGAATTGGTTGAACAGGAGACATAATCTTCTCAGGCTTGAAAATTGTATTACCACTGACCCTGGTTTTTCTTCAACTTCCAACCCATATCTTGTTCTACCAAGAATCTCCCTATGCAAGAGATTGAAGACCTCTTGTGGCATGGGAAGGTCAAAGATAACCAACCAGGGATGCAATTTGCTCATCTTTGAGCTTAGACGGCGATTTATTGCAGTCTTTGCGCGAATCATGCTTCGTTGTAGCATAGGATATAGCTCGCCGACGCTGTATTTGGGTCTCTCACGAAGACCTCCAAACTTCGCTTTGACAACCGCTTCAGCTAACTGATTTAGTTCATAAAATGTTTTGTCTAAATCCCTTAGTTTGTACGCATTTGAAATTCGCCGCTCAAATTTTGATTTCTCGCGCTTCAGTGCTTCTTTTATTGAAATAATTAATTCGCCTTCGGTGACTTCAGATTGATCCGCCATCTTAGAATTTGCATAACTAGACCTCAGATCTCCCGCGGTCAAAATGAAAGTTGGCCCAATTTCGAGCTATAATTTCCAAGCGTGTTTTATGAGTTCTTGAAGCATCTCTTTTAAATTGTTAGTCGCTGGACAAATTCTAGTTGAAAACTGGTTAAGGACTACTGTTTTAAAACATTTAAGTAGAGAATAGATTGAAAGATCAAGTACCAATTGAAAGTAACTTTTTTCAAATGCATTATTTCTGAAGTTGAAGTGCAAGAAAAAGCGCCTGAGCCTGACATGGACGTCGCAGAGAAAGGTAACATTCCTTATAATTAATTAGCNTATCGTGACTTTTGTTTGATTGTGCTTGAATTCCGCCTGATTACCTTCGCTCTTGGAGAAAAAGCTCTGCGGAAGCCCTAATATACGACAAGACATGGCCGCTTCTTTAGGGCCGAGTGACGGTGAGTTTCTTTGTTTACAGTCGTACTTCAATCTTATAACCTAACATCGTTCGATACAGAAAATCATCATCAGTGTTAAGAATTATATTTGCTTGAATCCAGAAGATTATGATCTACATTTCCGATTTTCCGTGAACACGACTAGTGTTGTTTACATTCTCGCTCGCTATATTAGTCTTGGATATTACTGACTCATGATAATAAATTGTTCGTTTTATCTTGTGTTAACGATACAAAACGAAGTTTTACGCCATTCTTTATTCTAGAAGGTTCACATTGAATTGGAGGTGATATCTCTATGTACCACTCTATTTCTTTCCTCTAGCTGTCTCTGCCAACCTGTCAGCATTTCCTGACCTTACATTTTCTGAGGTTGAAGCGTATGCCCAGAAAGAATCTGGCTGCAGGCACACAATCAAAGGCTATAAGTTTTTCGCTGAACCTGGATATTTACACGATGTGAAAGGTGAGTTTTCATGTAGTAAGAATATAAATTGTGAATACACACACACGTTCCTCTTTGAAAGTTGTCTAGTTGTTGATGTCTTTTTAATTCATACTATCGACCTGAGATGTGTTTTTTCCTCTCTTTACAGTATCTTACGAGCAGGGTTCTGCCAACATTACTGCCAAGTGCCATCGGTCAATGAGAAAGAGTGAACTCCCTCATCAACTCTACGTAATTGTTGTAGTTGACTCAAAAGCCATTTCTGGAAAGTGCTCTTGTGTGGCAGGCCTTGGGGGCTATTGCAATCATGTTGTTGGCCTCCTGTATTATTTGGCACATTGCAAGCAACTGGGCTTTTCTTCTCTTCCAGACGACTTAACATGTACGAGCATGAAAGAGAGGTGGAGCATTCCAAGAGAACGCAAAATTGGAAATCAAGAAGTCCAAAGTGTCTTGGTCAAGAAACCACGGCCTGGGGCTAACTATGACCGATATATAAAAAACACTCTGTATTCACCAGCCAGGCAATACAGAGTACTTGATGAGAGCCACTACAACAGTGTTGAGCCAAAACCACTCATAGCAACAATAGCTCCTAGAGTTAATGCTCCTTTACAACTGGTATCTACCAAATTTGGTCATGCTGTGAAGGGAAGTGTAATATCCTATCAACAGAAGCTATCTGAGGAGTACTTGATAAACAACTACTCCTGTACCTCTTTCCCAGAGTTGCCTCTTCCAAGTGCTGAGATGCGATTTGAAAATGATGTGTCTATGTGTCTCCAGCAAGACAAGCTTACTTCATTGGGTGTGTTGAGTCTCTCCAGGCAAACTGCCATTGAAGTGGAGGAAAAAACAAGGGCACAAAGTCAGAGTGGTCTTTGGACAATGTTAAGGAACAAAAGGATCACAGCTAGTAAATTTGGACAAGTTGCCAAAAGAAAAAGCAACTTCGACAACCTAGTTAGGCAAATTAACCCATCAAGACATGTGGTTACAGCACCTATGCAGAGAGGCTTAGATTTGGAACCCCAGGCTGCATTTATTTATGCCAGCAAAGCCAAGCAAAACCAAGTGAATCTCTTCCCATCAGGGCTGGTGATAAATCCAAAATGTCCATGGTTGGGATGCACCCCTGACAGCAAAGTGTTTGATTTGGGTGTTGAAGAGCAAGGCCTTTCACCTTTTGGCCTTTTGGAGATAAAGGTTGTTAAAGAAGGTGCAACTGACTTTGAGAATGTGGCCTATCTTACAAAGGACAACGATTCCAATGTCCTCAAGCTTAAAAGAAATCATGACTATCATTATCAGGTCCAATGTCAGTTGGCATTAACTGGCCTTGAGTGGTGTGATTTTTTCAGTTACATCAACGACACTACCTTTTTCTGTGAAAGAATTATGTTTGATCCCATCTTTTTTCAAACTGCAAAAGACAGAGTTGATTATTTTTTCTTTACCTATTTCCTGTGAAGTTCACAGTAACCATTACAATAACAGCTGTATTTATTGCTATGAATTTCCTTGTTATAAAGTTCACACAATGTGAGTACACAGTCAGTGCAACCTAATATGTACAAATTCTTTATTTAATGATTCCTGGCTATGATTGAATTTATTATATACTGAACATTTAGTTGTTAGTGGTATCACTGTCATCTGTGTCTTTGATCAGTGCACCTTGAAAGTTAGTCAACAAACAGGCAACTGTATACAGTTGATTGACAGATCCCAGTATAGACAATGAGATGTCAGAGTCAAATATATGAAATTCCTTTATCCTTCTTATTGCACGTTCCACATGGATTCTTACGTTTGCAATAGTTTTTGTTTCCAAAACATCCTGGGCTGAAAATTGAGTTTGATTCTGAAGAAAGGGTGGCAAATTCAAAGAAACTTGTTTACTGCTTAAAAGATCTTCAATATCAAATCCCTTATCTGCCATGACACTGTCATGTGCCTCCAGAAGATCCAAAATGCCAGAACAACGAGTTATTTCTTTGTCTGATATCGAACCAGTGTACAGGCTAGAAACAAATGTGATAGCCCCATGAGGAGCAATCCCAATTAAACCTTTTAAAGTAGTGCTAGACTTGTACGATGAATACAACTGAGACTGTAATAGCAATGAAGAAGGGGTTTGGACATGAATTTCAGTGCAGTCAATGATGACACGTGTCGATGGATACAGCTCTTTGAAGCTATCTGGCATAAGTTCATTAATGCACTCTCTAGTTGGCCATATTGGCTGATTGCCAAGAAAGAAGTACAAAAAATTGGCCCAAGTTGTTTCGCTCTTGGAGAAAAAGCTCTGCGGAAGCCCTAATATACGACAAGACATGGCCGCTTCTTTAGGGCCGAGTGACGGTGAGTTTCTTTGTTTACAGTCGTACTTCAATCTTATAACCTAACATCGTTCGATACAGAAAATCATCATCAGTGTTAAGAATTATATTTGCTTGAATCCAGAAGATTATGATCTACATTTCCGATTTTCCGTGAACACGACTAGTGTTGTTTACATTCTCGCTCGCTATATTAGTCTTGGATATTACTGACTCATGATAATAAATTGTTCGTTTTATCTTGTGTTAACGATACAAAACGAAGTTTTACGCCATTCTTTATTCTAGAAGGTTCACATTGAATTGGAGGTGATATCTCTATGTACCACTCTATTTCTTTCCTCTAGCTGTCTCTGCCAACCTGTCAGCATTTCCTGACCTTACATTTTCTGAGGTTGAAGCGTATGCCCAGAAAGAATCTGGCTGCAGGCACACAATCAAAGGCTATAAGTTTTTCGCTGAACCTGGATATTTACACGATGTGAAAGGTGAGTTTTCATGTAGTAAGAATATAAATTGTGAATACACACACACGTTCCTCTTTGAAAGTTGTCTAGTTGTTGATGTCTTTTTAATTCATACTATCGACCTGAGATGTGTTTTTTCCTCTCTTTACAGTATCTTACGAGCAGGGTTCTGCCAACATTACTGCCAAGTGCCATCGGTCAATGAGAAAGAGTGAACTCCCTCATCAACTCTACGTAATTGTTGTAGTTGACTCAAAAGCCATTTCTGGAAAGTGCTCTTGTGTGGCAGGCCTTGGGGGCTATTGCAATCATGTTGTTGGCCTCCTGTATTATTTGGCACATTGCAAGCAACTGGGCTTTTCTTCTCTTCCAGACGACTTAACATGTACGAGCATGAAAGAGAGGTGGAGCATTCCAAGAGAACGCAAAATTGGAAATCAAGAAGTCCAAAGTGTCTTGGTCAAGAAACCACGGCCTGGGGCTAACTATGACCGATATATAAAAAACACTCTGTATTAACCAGCCAGGCAATACAGAGTACTTGATGAGAGCCACTACAACAGTGTTGAGCCAAAACCACTCATAGCAACAATAGCTCCTAGAGTTAATGCTCCTTTACAACTGGTATCTACCAAATTTGGTCATGCTGTGAAGGGAAGTGTAATATCCTATCAACAGAAGCTATCTGAGGAGTACTTGATAAACAACTACTCCTGTACTTCTTTCCCAGAGTTGCCTCTTCCAAGTGCTGAGATGCGATTTGAAAATGATGTGTCTATGTGTCTCCAGCAAGACAAGCTTACTTCATTGGGTGTGTTGAGTCTCTCCAGGCAAACTGCCATTGAAGTGGAGGAAAAAACAAGGGCACAAAGTCAGAGTGGTCTTTGGACAATGTTAAGGAACAAAAGGATCACAGCTAGTAAATTTGGACAAGTTGCCAAAAGAAAAAGCAACTTCGACAACCTAGTTAGGCAAATTAACCCATCAAGACATGTGGTTACAGCACCTATGCAGAGAGGCTTAGATTTGGAACCCCAGGCTGCATTTATTTATGCCAGCAAAGCCAAGCAAAACCAAGTGAATCTCTTCCCATCAGGGCTGGTGATAAATCCAAAATGTCCATGGTTGGGATGCACCCCTGACCGCAAAGTGTTTGATTTGGGTGTTGAAGAGCAAGGCCTTTCACCTTTTGGCCTTTTGGAGATAAAGGTTGTTAAAGAAGGTGCAACTGACTTTGAGAATGTGGCCTATCTTACAAAGGACAACGATTCCAATGTCCTCAAGCTTAAAAGAAATCATGACTATCATTATCAGGTCCAATGTCAGTTGGCATTAACTGGCCTTGAGTGGTGTGATTTTTTCAGTTACATCAACGACACTACCTTTTTCTGTGAAAGAATTATGTTTGATCCCATCTTTTTTCAAACTGCAAAAGACAGAGTTGATTATTTTTTCTTTACCTATTTCCTGTGAAGTTCACAGTAACCATTACAATAACAGCTGTATTTATTGCTATGAATTTCCTTGTTATAAAGTTCACACAATGTGAGTACACAGTCAGTGCAACCTAATATGTACAAATTCTTTATTTAATGATTCCTGGCTATGATTGAATTTATTATATACTGAACATTTAGTTGTTAGTGGTATCACTGTCATCTGTGTCTTTGATCAGTGCACCTTGAAAGTTAGTCAACAAACAGGCAACTGTATACAGTTGATTGACAGATCCCAGTATAGACAATGAGATGTCAGAGTCAAATATATGAAATTCCTTTATCCTTCTTATTGCACGTTCCACATGGATTCTTACTTTTGCAATAGTTTTTGTTTCCAAAACATCCTGGGCTGAAAATTGAGTTTGATTCTGAAGAAAGGGTGGCAAATTCAAAGAAACTTGTTTACTGCTTAAAAGATCTTCAATATCAAATCCCTTATCTGCCATGACACTGTCATGTGCCTCCAGAAGATCCAAAATGCCAGAACAACGAGTTATTTCTTTGTCTGATATCGAACCAGTGTACAGGCTAGAAACAAATGTGATAGCCCCATGAGGAGCAATCCCAATTAAACCTTTTAAAGTAGTGCTAGACTTGTACGATGAATACAACTGAGACTGTAATAGCAATGAAGAAGGGGTTTGGACATAAATTTCAGTGCAGTCAATGATGACACGTGTCGATGGATACAGCTCTTTGAAGCTATCTGGCATAAGTTCATTAATGCACTCTCTAGTTGGCCATATTGGCTGATTGCCAAGAAAGAAGTACAAAAAATTGGCCCAAGTTGTTATTTTTCTACTCACACTAGAAACATGCAAACTAAAACGCTGGGCAAAGTCCAGTTCAAATAAACCAAGCTTCAATCGAACACAAAATAAAAAAAGCTCATCTATCAGTTGCATCTTGCGTACTCCTGGCCTGTTTGCACCTATTCCTGAAGCATACACATAAACCATTGTTTCTGCAGTTGGTTTAACAAGTTCAAAAAATAGCTTAAAGTGATCATAAGTTGGAAAACCTGTGTAAAATCTCACAAGAGCATTATCTTTAGAGAACCTTTCCAGGCCAAATCGACTAATCTTAAGATTTGCCTCTAATTCTTGAATTTTTGCCTCTGATGACTCCTTTGTGGCAGCAGCAGCCTCCTTGAGTACTCTCATCTCGGCCTCCTTTTTTTGCACTTCTAACTGAGTTATTTTCAGCTGCTCCATTAGGCTCTGAATCTCACTCCTTGCAGCCTGATAATCTAGCTCTAGTTGGGATGGTGCTTTAGGTGGCTCAGGCTCTACATCACTCTCGTCTGTTTGTGTCTCACTAAAGGGAAGAAGTTTAATAAACATATAAATGATGTAGACATACAGAGAAAGAAATCAGGGGCTGTTGATACAAAGGGTCTAAAGGAAAGTGGAGCCACAGAGGGTCATTCTCTTCAGAGTGAGTCATTGGCTACAAACACAAGCAAAATGAGGCTTTTGTAGAGATTTTCTTCTATTATTATTACTACTAAATTTTTGTCATTTTTATTAGCATTATTATCATTATTATTATTATTTTTATCCTTATTATTATTATTATTATCATAACTATTACTGTTATTACTATACCCATATGTCAATGCGTTCTGTCTGCAATTGATATTATTACCTTTCAACATGTCTTACAATCTTTCTTCTTTGGGTCGTTCTAGCTGACCAATTGAAGACAGACGGGACAGAATCTTTTTTCAAATTCCGTCGACCAGCCCGGTCAGGGGGCAGAAAATCTTCCTCTGCAAAATGTGCAGAGCAAACCCTGGTGCCTTCAGTGAGCTAGAAAAAAATAAGATATTAAAGCTAAAAAATTGCATGCAATCCAAGAGAAACATAATTATAAGTAACACGTAGATAACCACGCATATTGAATGACAGTACATTGAGTGAAATTTCACAAGTACTACTATTCAGGGGGTTGTAGTTAGCACCTACCTTAAAGTTGTCACCAATGTCTCGTCTAATTTTTACGATCCAGTTTGCTCTGAGTTGATCGTCTTTCTTAGGAAAACGATGAAAAGACAACGAGCTGTTGTAACGGGAGTCATTGTTACATTGTGGAACACAACAATGCAACGCAGAACCTCGTTTTTTCTTCTTGACAGGTTCTAAAACAGAACAAAATGTTGTTCTCAGTTTTGTGTTCGCAATTGGTTGGAGAAAAGATTATGATAACGAAATACCACGGTGAGAATTTAGCCACTCACTTACGGCAAAAATGAAAGCGAGCGAGAATGTGAACACTAGTTGTGTTCAACGAACTTAAAAGAATTCAACACGCAAAATCAGAAATAGAGATCATAATGTTCTGGATTCAAGCAAATCTAATTCCTAACACTAAAAACCGTTTTCTGTATCGAACAACGTTACATTTCTAAGACTAAAATATGTCTATTAACAAGGAAACTCACCGTCACTCGTTCCCGAAGGATCGGCCATATCTTGTCTTATATTTGAGCTTTCGCCTGGCTTTTACTCCCAGAGCAAAGGTAAATCAGGCGAACTTCAAGTCCAGTGAAACTGAAGTCACAATAAATCTCGTTTGTTCTTTTACAACTAGCTTTAGGGATATTTTCGACCAAAAAGTCAAAGTTCGCTTTGCTTGAGTTGATCAATTCTTGTACAGTACAATGAGCGGGACGCTGGTTTGCTTGCTCACCAGCAATGCGTTGCTATGTGGTAACCAAGCACGTGACTAAGTCCTGCAAAGAGCCTATTGCCCATGATCCTTCTGTTTTGTCACAAGTTAAAGGTATATTGCCTATTCCACTCGCCTTATTTCACAACGCTATAGTGACGAGAGAACTGCATAGCTTTATAATCTCTCAGCCAAACGCTGGTTTAACGATAAGTGAAATTCAAACTCTCTGGCTACAGACAATGTATGATGCCTGTGGTTGACGAAGGGAAGCTTATGTTTCTGCATGGAACAAAAATTCAAACATTAGTCTTTTTTTTCCCAGATTTTGACCAAAGATTTCAACGACCGGGTCAGAAGATCATAGCCTCTTGCATAGCCAGGAATTACTTTGAGAAGGAGCATCTATATACAAAGAGAATGTGTCAAATGACAGCCAGAAAGTGGTTAAGTTGTGATCATACGTTTAAAGTCTCTGCAAATATTGGATTTTGGTTTAATAAGAGATGGGTGAAGCTATATGATACATTATTTATTATCCTTAATGAGTAGGAAAATGTGTTAAGCTGGAAGCTGTGTAAAGGAGCCAAGTTTTCATCTATTGAAAATGTTTTGCAACTCATAAAAGACAGGCTAGATAAACAGGGACAAACACCAACAATTTTCTTTTTAGATAATTGCTGTTCCTGGCGTGCAAAGTTGTTTAAGATATTTCCTGACGTAACTCTTAAATTGGACCCTTTTCATGCAATACGAAGAGTTCTAAAGAACATCCCTAAAAAGAAAGGTTGTACTGAAACAATTACGCAGCTTCGAAGGAAAATGATACTCTCTTTAAGGCAACTTTTCCGTGATACGAAGGATAGGGGTGAACAGAGAACAATGGACACCCCTTGACCAGAAGTTATCCTAGAAAATATTGAGATTTTTATGAGGCAGTGGAGCAAAGCTGAAATAGATTCCATTCCATTGTTGTCATCTAGTGCAGTAAAAGAGATTAATAACCTGCAACATCATGTCATCAAAGACTGTTTGTCTGGAATACCAACATCTGGAGGGACAAACAGAAATGAAGCAATACACAAAAGTTTAAACACGTCTCTGAAATGGTCCAGGATTGGCCTAGAATTGGCTCTTGTATTTTTGGGGTTATTATTTTACAAATGGAATGAAAGGAAAATATCTGGCAAGCTTACCAACAAGAGGAAAAAAGTTACTTATATTCAACCAGTGGAAACTTACAGGGTGATGATTGAGGATTCCACAACTGATGAGCAGTTTGGTGGCTCTCTAACTATTCAGGAGAATGCTGAAGCTGCAGACTGTGAGTTTGGGGAAAACTTGTCAGACATCGATGAAGCTATTAATTGTATTAACTATTTACTAGAAGAACATTCAGATACTTCAAGTGATGATGACAGTCTCTCATTGGATGACCAGAACTGTGATATAAGTGATGATGAGGACTGTATTAATTATCTTAACAATGCAGAAATTGCCAATGCTATACAGAAAGCATCAAACTTTAGTTGTTTAAGTAAACACCTGGAAGGTATCAAGAGTGAGGCATCTTTTTCACGAAGTGCTAATGATCTGATACACTTTCAAAATGCTCTTTGTCTCTTATCTACTGTTACAAATAAAGCTCAGTACAGTGGAACAGATCTTGACGAATTTCTTCATTTAAACAATTTGCAACGAATCAAAATTCCTGGTGACAGAAATTCTTTTTTTGTGCCTTTAGCATTTATGATACAGCAACAGTTGGCAAAATGCACTTTAAATGTGGAGGCAAAGGCACATATGGAATATTTAGGTTTAGTCAAAGGTGCTAACACAGATGTTAAACAAATGGCTATGGCACTACAACAAACCACTGTGAATGAGTGGCTGGCCAATCCCTCTTCTTATAAGCCTTTCCTCACTTCACACAAGATTATGAAGCAGAAGCAAATGCCTTTTTACAAGATGGCCATTTTGCATCAGAACTTGGAAATTCTATGCCACTTGCAGCATCTAATGCATTGCGCATTTCACTTGTGGTCTTCACAGGAATGTTAAACTTCCCAGTTTTGCCAATTTGCCCAAGAGATAGGACTCAAAGTGACAATCCGATATATCTTGCTTATGACATGCGCTTTGCTGGCCTTTATGATGGCATTGAGCAGCAAACTACTGTACAGCAAGATGAGAGGCAGCAGAGAAGTACATCTCCTCAGAGTGGTAACCAGCATCAAGTAACATGCAGGTGTGGACAAGGAGCAAAAAAAAAAAAAAAACAGGAAGCATTTCCTGTCATGAATATAAGAGTGGCTGCAATTGTTTTCAGAATGTGATGGGGTGTAGTGCATACTATCAGTGTATAAACTGCAATAATCCTAGAGGCAAGAAGGTACGATCAGGCTCTGCGCCAATTACATGTTCAGCGCAAAAGTGGCGACATCATAACAGTTCAACAGAAGGGTTAAGTGGAAAATCATTTACTGAATTCAAAGCAGGTGGAACAATGACAGTACACTGGACACTCTTTGAAGAGCTTGTTTTGATGGAGCTTTTAGTTGCCCTTTTAGCAAGTGACAAGCTTGAAACAGAGGTCCTTTACAAAGAATATAATCATGTGGTTGACACTGTTAGGCCAACAGCTATAAAAGACTGTTTGGGCAAGAAAACAGAAAGACAAGTGGCTCATAAGCTCTCAAAATTGTCAAGTGGCCAAAAAGTATTTGCAGCATTAATGAAGGAACAAATTCGGCTCAATCAGGGTGAGTGAATGATGTGAGTCTAAAGCCAGTTTTTATGCAGAATAACATATAGTTGGTGAAATGTCTTTTTTGTCTTAATTAAAAATTTAGTTAGTTGTAGTAACACTTACCTCACATGGATATATTTCAATTTTAAAGGATAACCTATTACAGTGCGATAAACATTTACTTTGTTATCACCTCAAATTAAGTTTTGCCACAAACAGCAAGTAAGGAGCTTACATTCACTCTAAGAGTCCCCTGTTTGTATCTCAAGGGTGGTTACTAGATGAGACCAGTACAACTCTAAACACTAGTTAGATTCAGATGATAATATGTAGTGTTTACATGGGACTGCTGTGTACACTGGGTCTTGACTGGTTTGCATAGCCAAAATTAAAAGTTTTGCTTTTTGTAAATCATTTTTAGTTGTGTCTAGTAACTAGAACCCTGTTCATGCATAAATGCATAAAAAAGGTCAGCTTAAATTAAGTTTTCAATACCATTTTCAATGTCATCAGAAGATGAACATGTGCCAAATAGTTTTTCTTTGTAAATCAAAATTTACCTTGAGCCTCTGACACGAGAAACAAACTGTTGAGCTTCTTATTTTGTTTACTCTACAGGGACAGTTCATTTTTGCATCAGGTAGGGGGATGGGGCTGGTGGGCTAGTTGGTTCTTATAGTTTGCTAAAATAAAATTGATATGGTTTAACAAGAATGTTGTGTTAATGAATCTTGCATCTTTAAAGTGCTGGAGATAGATATAGTTAAGGACACCTTGTTTGATATGAATTGTTTAAGAAACAAGTGATGCCAAATTGCATCTCTTGGTTGTGAGGACTAAAGGTGTCATGCTTCCTTACTAGAGTAATGATTTGTGTAATGGTTTGTGAAGGTAATACAAGTACAAAATAACAGAAGCCCAGTTCCTTGTCGGTCATTGTAGCTCCTTGTCGGTCATTGTAGCTCATTGTAGGTCATTCTAAATCATTGTGGATCATTTTAGGTCATTCCTTGTTAGCACAGTAGCTCATTGTGGGTCATTGGTCAATCCTTGTTTTAGCAACTACGTGTAAAAAATTCTCTTGGTGTTTTTCCCTGGTAATGACATGCGAGACATGCGACAACATTTCC